GGTCGGGCCTGACGGGGTTCGGCGCGGAACGGAGCTCAGGCAGAAATACCCAACGAGCTCAGGGAGTAGCTAGCTAACTGCTACAGATGCAGCGCGCGAGGCTAGCTAGCTAGCTAACTAAACCAATCAACATACAACCATCGATCTTTGCCGCTGCCGACGAGCACGGTCGCGGAGGGGCATGGCCGCCGCCGAGGAAGGTCACGGAGGCGGGCGCGGGCGTAGCGGCCGCCGGCGAGGACGCTCGCGGGGAGGTCGGGGAGGGGGCATAGCTGCTGCCGAGGACGGCCGTGGAGGCGGACGCGGGCATAGCCGCTACCGGCGAGGACGGTCGCGAGCGAGGCCGCCGCCGCCGCCGACGAGGACGCTTAGCGGGGAGGTCGCGGAGGGGGCGCTGCTGCTGCCGAGGATGGTCGTGTAGAGAGAGGAGATGGGCGTCGGCAGCACTAGTGACAAAGCTTGGGGCCAACGGCGGCGGAGTTCGAGGCTCGACGCCTCCTCCATCGGCAGCAACGACGAGCGGCCCTCCTCGCCAGATCTGGGCGGAGGCGGTGCGGCTCGTCGACGACCACGACGAGGACAGCAACGGCGGCGGCGGCTCCCGAGCTCTCCCGCGCAGATGAGGTCGACGACGGCAGGTCCACCACGGAGATGGTCAACGACGATGGCTGCAACGGTGGAGAGAGAGGAAGTCGGCGAGGAGGTCGCAGAGGGGCGCGGGGAGCGGACACGGGCACGACCGTCGCCGGTGCCATGCTGCCATCCACCACCGTGCTGCCGTGCCGCCGTGCGCCGTGCTGCCATCCGCGCCCGCCTTCGTACTGCCGTGCTGGTGCTGCCGTCGAGACGAGGACGACGAGAGGACGAAGACGGAGACGGCGGAAAATGTGACGGATTGGACGGAAATCGTGATGGAGTGGCATGGTTCTTATTTTAAAAATTTGCAGTGGCATCCAGCCGATAACGCGAATATGTGTGGCATTTTTTTGATTTGCCACATTTGCAGTGGCATGGATCCAATTAACCCATAAATAATTGTCTTATCTTTGTTATTGGTAATTGTTTCGACAAGATTTTCGATAGTCGGTGATTTGCGTGTCGATAAGCCCAAGCCCAAGCAACTACCAAACTAACTCACAAGATTGTGAATTGTGAATTTGTGAATCAGTATTTTTACACGCAGTTTATTTTTGCGGCGATTTTCAAGCTACAAATATAAGATACCAAGTTTATCTAGAAATCATCTTGGCTAGAAATCTCTTAGCACATCTTGTTTCTCAGTTCGCAATAATCAATGCAGAAAAATGATTCAGCGCACAAAATTACCGTACTTCGAGATATTCTCTTCTCTAGGGATATATACATAAAAAATATACTGGTTGCAAACTTGTAATCCTAACATGATCGCATCATATGGGCTCATGTGCCATTTTCTAATTGGAAAATGTGGCATGATGTACTGGGACAGGTGTAGGAGTAGCATGTAGGTACAGGGGCTTTAGTGATTAATTAGTTAGATTAATCAAGCACTAAATGTGACCGTTTGGGGACCCTGGCTACAGCTACTAGTGCTCCACATGCAGCGCTAGCTAAGCTTAATTAATCTACACAAATATAGTATGTGTTTGTGAATTGTGATGATCCAGCAGAGAGCCAGAAATACTTAAAAGAATTTTAAAACCACGGGGGGTGGATGACTGGATGCTCAAAATCGGACTAAAATCAACATTAAACAGCCATAATATAATGCTGAACACAAATATGGTGGGAAGGCAACTGGCACAGAAGATATGCCAACCTCCCATCTTAGTGGTTACAGCTTAATGTTGATTAACAAAAGAGTAAATAATAGATGCATTGCCTCCTAAAAGAAAGAAGAAAAAGAGGAAGAATTAATGCATTTATAAACATACTAAATATATATATATTAGGGAAATTAATATCAGCCAAAATAGGTTGTTTTTAGAAATCCTACCTTAAAAAGATTGTTGAGTGTTCCTTCCAACTCGCAATTTTAGAGTCAAAGGTTATTTATGAGAAAAATGTTTTATTTCTTGAAGGTATTTTTTAAAATAGAATAACCTATTTTTTTTGCCTTTGGAGGCCAAACTTTAGTGAGAAAACTAAAGTATTGAAAAAATAATTTGGCTTATTCGATCGGCCCAATGATCCAACATTGATGCATCAAAATGATCGATCTACTTTTTAGTATCAAACATCACGAAGAAAAGTTCAACTAATACAACTGCACAAACATAAGTTAATATGAAACGGATACCTAAAACTCTCTACCCAATCTTGCATAGTCACATTTCCTTGCATCGCCTAGGGCCACAAGGCCATGGGTCTGCCGCGACCACAAATAAATACTTATCACGCACTCACAGTTCTAGTTTGAGGATTTTTGGTATTCTGTACCCTTCATTTGTATTCCACCTTTAAGCACTTATATTTGAAAAATACGTAACTTAAATCCTTAAAAAGAAATTACATAGTGCCCACATTGTCCAAAGAGCATACTAACCGTCCTAGGGCAATAAACACGTGCGTATCAACTCGCGAGTCTTCTACCTACTCCCAAAATTTAAATAACAAAATTTATCTTATACTGGAAACATCAACACAGTGCATGTCAACACAAAATGCAAGGCGGCCACACAATATACTTCCAGCAAGAAAAAAGACGAGCACCGAAAGAAGTTAGAAAGATGCATATGAGGCAATACTCCTGCCATGCAATGCATCATCTCTATATTTCATATATATAACATCATCGTATGATGTAACTTGACGTACATGTAGAACATCATAGAGCAGGTGACCGCAAAGAGGAAAAACACAGGTAGGAGTTTGCATGTGTGCAACCCCAAGAGGCGAGAGGGGAGGGGGCACATCGGATGATATAGGGAATGGAAATGCACTGGATTCCCCAAGAACAAACTTAATTTGTCGATCAGCCCACTGCTAATGACTCAGTGGTGGACTTGTTAACATGAACTTGAAAAATTGAGGAGAAATATTCAATATATCTACGAAAGATAATCTAATGTGAGTTGAATGTGTAGGACTATATGATGCTACACATTCTAAGATACGGAGTAGTAATGTTTATATAACAACATTGAAAATTTGACGTTGAGTCCACCGTGACCTTATGAATAAATACTTATCACACACCCACACTATGTCCATTCAAGTTAAAGATTTAGTTCATTACATCTCTCACATTTGTATTCCACCTTTAAGCTCTTATATTAAAAAAATGTAACTTAATCCTTAAACAAGGTTTTCATTGTACATAATGCACAATACATTATCGAGAGAGTAGATTGACAGGCCTAAGACAATAAACAAGAGACATATGTCGCGAGCCTCCCACCTATTTCCCATCTTTAAACACAAAAAATTATCCCATATTTGAAACGCTCAAGGAACTAATCCACGTGTATGTCAACATAAAAGTACAGGGTGACCACACAATATACTTCTAGCAAAACTAAAGAAATCAAGCACCGAAAAAAGTAAGAAAGATGCTTACGAAGCAATACTCCAACCATGCAATGCATCATCACTATATCTCGTAGATTGATCATCATGTCATCGTAAGCTCTAACTCAGCGTACACGTAGAACATCGTACATTAAGACCATTGACCACAAAGAGGAAAAACACGGATAGGAGTTTGCGTGCAACCCCAAGAGGAGAGGCGGGGAAGCCATATAGGGATGGAAATACATTGGATTCCCAAGAAAAACTCTATCGATCAGCCCATCGCTACTGACTCAGAGTGGTCAACTTATTAACATGAACTTAAAAAATTAAGGAGTATTCAATATACCGTGAAAGATAATCTAATATGAGTTGAATGTATATATATGATGCCTACATGGTCTAAGATACGGAGTAATAATGTTTCCGTATATCAACATTGAATATTTGAAGTTGAATTCATTACCCTCAATTATATTTAACACATGCTTAAGTCGTGTATTCGAAGAAAAGGATTTGATTGACGACTTAACATATATATATGTATTACATCTTTAAATACATCAACTTCTTGTATATAAAGTAGATATATTATTTAAGTTCTTAATATATGCAGTATGCATTGCACTTAATGCTTACAGCTGTGAAAACATTAAACTAGTGTGTTTAGTACATTAAACTCGTATTTGGTACCTTATGAGTCTCCCACCTACTTCCATCTCTAAACACCAAATTTGACACCGATCCACGTGCACACCGCATATAAACGTAATGCAACCACACCCACTACACTTATTGGAATTAAGACAAGCACCGAAAACAAAAGTCAGAGAGACGAAGTAGCCCTTCGACCACGCAATGCCCGACCTCGATCATCATCTCACACGTTGCTCATCATGTCGTCACACTCTCCAGCTAAACATAACCGAAGAGATAGAGTTGACCGCTGAGGAAAAAAAAACCCACATCCAGAAGATAGGATATGTACGTAACCTTTGCCTTGGAAGGGGGGCAACATAAGTAACCCACCAAGAGGCGGTGCCTTGATGCCTGCACGATTCACTTCACCGATGGAAAAAAAGATCTTTTCCACGATTTTTGAACATTTCGACGTGACTCGATATCAATTTCCGAGAGGGATTTCGAACGGTTTTTAGCACATTCAAATTCAAAACAGTAAATCTGATCAAATCATCAAATTATAGCATTTGTTTTTAATCACTAGTAAGGACACTATATAAAACTTTTACTCACAAATAGTCATTTATTTACCAATAAGCAATTTTCAGATACACATATATGAATAAACAAATCAATGGGGGGACTAAAACCCTGGAAGCCACACGGTTGGCGACACAGCTGTATCCCCCACGGAAACACAGCCACAGAAGACCCAAAGATGCGATTTTTTTTCTTCTTTCCACCTCTTTTTATCCCTTTTTCCCTTCTTTTTCTCCGCCGTAGTGTACTCCTCCTATATAGGGCAGCAAAGGCTGTGGCCGTCCAAGGGCAGCAGCAGCAGCAGCAGCAGCAAACGCAGCAGGCGAAGGCGCCGGCTTGGAGAGGCTGGTGGCTTCGTGGTCTCTCTCTTCTCTCTCCCCCTAGCAGCAGCGCAGAGGCGGAGGAGGGGGGAGATGGCCGAGAAGGGTGACAATCTGGAGGCCGTGCTCAACGAGTCCGTCGATCTCGTACGTTCTTTGCCCCTCTGTTCATGTTCTGGTTTTGATTCCGGAGTTTTTGGGGGGTTTCTTTTAGGTGGATTTGGTTTTGATGGTGTTCTTGGTCTTTGCTGTTTGCTGTTTGTGTTCTTGATTTGTTTTTTTTTGGGAGGTGGTTTTGGTGGGTTTTGGGTTGGTGTTAGTGTTGGGGAGTGGTGGCAGTAGTAGTAATCTTTCCGCCTTGAATCATCTTCTTGATGGATTTTCTTCTTCTTCTTCTTGATTTCTGAAACTTTGTTTGATCTCTTCGATCTGGGAGGCATCATGGCCTTGGCCGGTTAGGGCATTAAGGTTTCGGTTCTTCTTCCATCCCAAGTTCTTGATTTTCTTTTTTCATCTTGCTTTTGATGATCCCATAAACAATGGAAAGTCCATCCCTTTTTCTCCGCGTATCGCTCGCTGATTCGTCTCTCGCTTTCAACGGAGCAAATCTCGTGATCTTTCATTCGGTTTCTCTCCTGAAAAAAAAAGTTTCGAGATTCTTTTTTTTTTCTCAGGATTGATTTCTTTTGATGCATGATTTTGACGGGTGTTTCTTGTCCTTCCTTCCTTCTGCAGGAGAACATACCGTTGGAGGAGGTGTTCGAGCACCTGCGATGCAACCGCGAGGGCCTCACCTCCGCCAATGCCGAGCAGCGCCTCAACCTCTTCGGCCCCAACAGGCTCGAGGAGAAGAAGGTAACCAACCCACCAAATCCGTGGTTTCTCTCCCAAGATTCAGTAGAAAGTTTATTTTCTGTTCGATGATGCAAAGTTTTTTTTTTCATGTTTGTTTGTTTTTTTATGTGTGTGTGTGCAGGAGAGCAAGTTCTTGAAGTTCTTGGGGTTCATGTGGAACCCACTGTCCTGGGTCATGGAGGCCGCCGCAATCATGGCCATCGCTCTCGCCAATGGAGGAGTAAGTAGTCTATGAATCATGATGTTTCGGACATGGCATGTGAGGTGATTGTGAGACATGTGAGGTGATTGTGAGAGGTTGGATTGAATTGATGAGGGTTGATTTGTTTGGGGTTTCAGGGGAAGCCGCCGGACTGGCAGGATTTCGTGGGCATCATTACACTGCTCATCATCAACTCCACAATCAGTTTCATTGAGGAGAACAATGCCGGCAATGCCGCCGCCGCTCTCATGGCTCGCCTCGCCCCCAAGGCCAAGGTATTTGATGCCAATCTTGTCTTTTGTGCAGTTTGTGATGATTGTGTGTACACAATCTCAAGTAGTACTGACTTTTGTTTGTGGTGATGAAGGTTCTTAGAAATGGAAGATGGAGTGAAGAGGAAGCAGCCATCCTTGTGCCGGGGGACATCATCAGCGTCAAGCTTGGAGATATCATCCCTGCTGATGCCCGTCTCCTTGAGGGTGATCCGTTAAAGATTGATCAGGTGACTGCAATCGCGATAATCTCCTGATTGGTTTGGTCATATAAGTTTACTATTTTTATCTTTTGAGTTCTGACCTATGATTTGGTTCTATTGTGCAGTCTGCGCTTACCGGTGAGTCCCTTCCGGTGACCAAGGGCCCTGGAGATGGAGTGTACTCTGGCTCCACATGCAAGCAGGGTGAAATCGAGGCTGTTGTCATTGCAACCGGTGTGCACACGTTCTTCGGCAAGGCCGCACATCTTGTCGATTCGACAAACCAAGTTGGCCATTTCCAGAAGGCAAGCTTCTAGTTTCTGTTTCCAGTACTCGCCTACTGTCTTGTATTTTGCAAGTTTATAATGTGATAAGCATCTGTTTCGCTGTCCAGGTTCTGACTGCCATCGGGAACTTCTGCATCTGTTCAATTGCTATTGGAATGGTTGTAGAGATTATTGTCATGTACCCCATCCAACACAGGGATTACCGACCAGGGATTGACAATCTTTTGGTGCTTCTGATTGGAGGAATTCCCATTGCCATGCCCACTGTTCTTTCTGTGACTATGGCAATCGGGTCACACCGCTTGGCTCAGCAGGTATATATCTGGACAATTCTCTCTGAAGTGAAAATATATGTTTCTTGGTCTGTTTCAGCATTACAATATTGCATATTGGTGTAGGGAGCAATTACAAAGAGGATGACAGCTATTGAGGAAATGGCTGGTATGGATGTTCTTTGCAGTGACAAAACAGGAACACTAACCTTGAACAAGTTGACTGTGGATAAGAGTCTTATTGAGGTTAGGAATTTGATATATTTATTTACATAATCTAGCTCTTTGATTATTTCTGATAATCACACTCATCTGAAAACGTTTTTGACTGAATCAGGTTTTCCAAAGAGGTGTTGACCAGGATACTGTCATACTAATGGCTGCCAGAGCTTCACGTACCGAAAATCAGGATGCCATAGATGCCACAATAGTTGGTATGCTTGCTGATCCAAAAGAGGTATATCAGATGCATTTTCAGTTTTGCTATGTACAGCTTTTCTTCTTTTATTTTTCCTTCTTTTCTTACTTTGTTTGGTGAAAAGGCTCGTGCTGGTATTCAAGAGGTTCATTTTCTGCCATTCAATCCAACTGACAAAAGGACTGCTTTAACCTACATTGATGGTGAGGGGAAAATGCACCGTGTAAGCAAGGGAGCACCAGAACAGGTACTTATTCATTTACATATATTGGGAGCTTCATGTTTGTCCACATGTAACTTATATCTCATCAATTTACTGTGGTAATTTGACTTACTGATTATGGAACATCAACAGATCCTTAATCTTGCACACAACAAAACTGAGATTGAAAGAAGAGTCAGAGCTGTAATTGACAAATTTGCTGAGCGTGGCTTGCGATCACTTGGTGTGGCATACCAGGTCTGGGATCACATCGCCTTGTAATATACACAGTTAGCCTGTTACTTACCTTCTTACTTGGCTGACTGAACATTTTTATACAGCAAGTGCCAGATGGTAGGAAAGAAAGTCCTGGAGGACCATGGCAATTTGTTGGGCTCTTGCCACTTTTTGACCCTCCTCGACACGATAGTGCAGAAACAATCAGGAGGGCACTCAACCTTGGTGTCAATGTTAAAATGATTACAGGTCTGTCCTATTTCAATTCAATGCGCTCTCTGTTGATTATTTTAAATGAAGAGTTCTTGTTCTGGCTTCTCTGGAATCTTGCTATTCTGTTGTTTGTAAATTAGTGAATCTAGTGATGCATGTTTGCAGATTGGACTAGTACTGGAATGCTGATTGAATTTTAGTTTTTAGCTATTTTGATTGGTCTAGGAAAAGCCAAGTAAATTATTTGGAGCTCATCTATTTCAGTGGGATTTTATCTTGAGTTTGAGTTGGTCTAGTTACATAAGTGCAAAGTTTTTTGTAATATTTTTCAGGTGACCAACTTGCAATAGGCAAGGAAACAGCACGCCGCTTGGGAATGGGTACTAATATGTATCCCTCATCTGCTTTACTGGGACAAGATAAGGATGAATCAATTGTGGCTTTGCCAGTTGATGAATTAATTGAGAAAGCTGATGGCTTTGCTGGAGTCTTTCCTGGTACGACTTTGGAGATAATATGTTATTAGAACCGTACTATTTTTCATTGGCTTAATTATATTTGTCAACATTTATTTTCAGTACTTATGTGTAGTTTTGCCTTTACTATCATCTAACAGAGCACAAGTATGAGATTGTGAAACGCTTGCAAGCAAGAAAACATATATGTGGTATGACTGGAGATGGTGTGAATGATGCTCCCGCTTTGAAGAAGGCTGATATTGGCATTGCTGTGGACGACTCGACTGATGCAGCCCGTAGTGCCTCCGATATTGTCCTAACTGAGCCAGGCCTTAGTGTGATTATTAGTGCTGTGCTTACAAGTCGAGCAATTTTCCAGAGGATGAAGAATTACACTGTAAGCCATTACTGCAGTTCCTTCGCCAATGAAGTCATTGTCTTTTCAGATTCTAAATTGTTTTTTTTCCTGCTTGCAGATTTATGCTGTTTCAATTACAATTCGTATTGTGGTAAGTATTTGTTCCTTATATGTTCGACTGTTTTCTTAATCATGTACTTATTATTTATTGACTGCATGGACAAATAACTCATTATATTGCGACTCATTTTCTTGTAACAGCTTGGTTTTATGCTTCTTGCTCTGATATGGAAGTTCGATTTCCCACCATTTATGGTCCTGATCATTGCCATCCTCAATGACGGTTAGTATCTTTCAGCTGATTTCATGACAAGATTTAAACCTGCTACAGTTGATCATTCTTTTGTCTTGCTCATGTATATGCATAAATATCTCAAATCTAATAAGTACTATATTAGGTCACCTAACTACCAGTACCTTTTGATATGAACAGGTACCATAATGACCATTTCAAAGGACAGAGTAAAACCATCCCCACAACCTGATAGCTGGAAGTTATCTGAGATTTTTGCAACTGGGGTCGTCCTTGGTAGTTACTTGGCCATGATGACAGTCATTTTCTTCTGGGTAGCATACAAGACTGATTTCTTCCCGGTACTGGCCAGTACTGTACTGAGTGTTTTTATTGCATAGTTTGTGGTCATACTTGTTTTGCTCATCCTTGGATTTCTTGACTAATTTTCAGAGAGTGTTTCACGTTGAAAGCCTTGAAAAGACTGCTCAGGATGACTTTCAGAAGCTTGCATCTGCTGTCTATCTTCAAGTCAGCACAATCAGCCAGGCCCTCATCTTCGTAACTCGGTCTCGCAGCTGGTCATTTGTGGAGCGCCCAGGATTCTTGTTGGTTTTTGCTTTCTTTGTAGCTCAACTGGTAAGTGATTTCACCATCTCCCATCAGATTCATGTCCATCTTAACTAGTGTATATTACTTGATACGATTCGTCTTCTTGTGGTTTACTACTTTGTTGCTCACATTCTTTTCCTTGCTACCACCAGATTGCTACTCTGATTGCTGTATATGCCAACTGGGGATTCGCTTCAATCAAGGGCATTGGATGGGGCTGGGCTGGTGTCATCTGGCTCTACAACATCGTCTTTTACTTGCCACTGGACATCATCAAGTTCCTGATCCGTTATGCGTTGAGTGGGAGGGCATGGGATCTTGTTCTTGAGCAAAGGGTAAGAACATAAATTGACATTTCTCGACATGCAACATTGTATTCATTATCTAAAAGATGCAAATATTGTATTGTGCTCATCTGTTATCGGTGTTGTGCACACGCAGATTGCTTTCACAAGGAAGAAGGATTTCGGCACACAAGAAAACCAGCTCAAGTGGGCGACTGCTCAGAGGACCATCCATGGGCTCCAGCCAGCCGCCACCGCGGCTGTCTTCCGCGACATGACAAGCTACAACGATCTCAACCAGCTTGCAGAAGAGGCCCGTAGGAGAGCCGAAATCGCAAGGTATGTACAAGCAATGCCATTGCCCATGACAACCTTGAACAATCAACAACAGCTCAACCCTCCCTGCTGCAGTAGCTTAGCTGAAATCTGAATTCGGATTTTCGTCGTCTCAGGTTGAGAGAGCTGACCACCCTGAAGGGGCGGATGGAGTCGGTGGTGAAGCAGAAGGGCTTGGATCTTGAGACCATCCAGCAGTCATACACCGTGTGATTAACAGAGAATCTCCAATATATATATTTATTATATACTATTTATAATGTGCTAGGCCACAACAATAATTTACCTGGATGATGATGATTGAGCGGATTTCCAGTGTCGGTGCGGTGCTAATCGCTAGAGTTCATCCCCCATCTATCTTGTGTCCATTAACCACCCCCGGCAGATGGGCTTGCATTGAGATACTATATACAAACTCTTTTTACTACTAGATGATATAATAGTTCAATTTTGTTTTGTCAGTCTGGTTTTGCTGCTGTTTGTCTCTGGTTCTTGGCCATCTGAATCATGATTAAGGGTATGTTTGGGGAGCTTTAGATTCTGAGAAAAAAATGTTTGGTAGCCAGCTTCTGAGAATCTGGAAAATCTCTGAAACCCGACTTCTCTAGCTTCTGGCTTTTTAGTTTATTTTTTCAGAATCTATAACTACAGATTCTTAGAAGTTGTGGACTGTTTGGGGCAGCTTCTGGTAGAAGCAGCTTTTCAGCTTCTGGTAGAAGCAACTTTTGGGAAAAGCTGCAGCTGAAACAAGCTCCCCCAAATAGGGTCTAAGTATTTGGTTAGGCAGACATGGCCATGTGCAATGCTGTCAATGTGTGCCTGCCTCACATGCCATTGAAGAACAGGTTGAGAATCTGGGAATGAATTGGGATGGGAAATTGGCAGGTGATGCCATTAGCATGTGGATGATGCGCCTAATTAATCATATCCACCTGCTATTTAGTAGCAAACGCATGCCAATCAAGATCCGTTCCATGTTTCCATTCCACTGTGACAACTCAAGATTCTGGATGGTTTCCTCGGAATTTTTTTTGTGTTTCTCAAAAAAAAATTATGTGTTTCAAAAGAACCCCAGGAAACCATCCAGAAAAAAATATCTAAACTTAAATTTCGAAATTCAAATATATATCGGTGTTTGTTTATCGAGATCTCTTGTTTATTTTTGTTGAATAACTAGTGGCCTATTCGCTGATCCGAATAGAAGACGACGATCTCATGCACACAATCATATAGTAGATGAACACGAATATAGAGAGGGGCATCACAGCTTTATTGCTTTAACCATATGCGAATACATCAACTAACATCTCAAGCCCTCTCTCTCAGTATATATACTTATAATAGGAAGAGTCCTATTAGGATACGTTTACATATATTTGGTATGAGCCCATATTTATCTTTGGCAGGAGATAATAGTTTCATAACACTCCCCCTTGGGCGAATACCGTGCTATACACATGTCTCATTAAAAACTCCATCCAAAAATCCAGTGGGAGAAAAGGATAGGAGAAAAGAGTACATCGTACACGCTAGTTATATTGCACTTGTTGCCTCGGTAAAAACCTTGCATGAGAAATATTCAAGTAAAAACTCACTAAGGGAAAAATAGTACAACACACGATCTTCTTGATCGTATAATCTTTAAAATCGACTATTCTTCATAAATAGCTAATGATCTATATGCTTTATTATATTAATGAACTTGGATTAACACAACAATATAGCGGTAGTAACCTTCAAGGTAAATTATCAAAACAATGATTAATTTGATTAATTCTTGGTAAATCAAATATAAGACTTCTAAGTCTTAACTATGATAATCAATGTTTAGCATATATGCTCCCCTCAATAAGACATCCGTTGAAACTTCCATATTCCAATGTCATAACCACATTTTTATTAATATGTAAAACAATGATAATAAAATTACCACAATGTTTAATCTTTCGTTTACTTATTTCATAAGTTCTACTATGAACATGAGAAATAAATCAACGTATAGGAGCAATATATATAACCACTTATTCAAATGTGCAATACAAACAAAGTTTTATCCTTACGGAGGACTATGGGAAAATAAGTTGTAACGATACACATATGCAGTATGTATAAAATAATTAGCTCAATACAAGAGGTTAAATATTATGCAACTTTCTCTTAGTGGATTTATCAATCATTACCAATTTGATTGTTTCACTAATCTTCAACAATTAGCTTAAACCACTTAGAGTGACATAAACCGGTCTATATTTTGGCATTAGAGAAATTAATAAGATTGCCAAATACCATCAATAAGTATATTTTCATGATATATAAATTCTTACACCTTCCTAGTATGTAGAAAACTACCGATCCACTTGCATGCTAGTGGATGTGATTTTCCAATTCATTCATTTGAACGGGTCTGTCCACTTCATGGGAGTACGAGTTATCGGTGTTATATGGAGATTAACCGGTAATTTATACATTAGCGTAGTCCTACGGGGATCAACTTATTCTTCTGGAAGTCATTTTCTCTGCTATGAGAAATATTCTCACTTCTAGGAGAAAAACTTTTCATGAGTCATCATAAACTCTTCTACGAGTCTTGCAATTCTCTTCATGAGAATATAGTGTGCTTCATGACACTAATTAGTATGAGATTTACATATATGTTGCGAAATTGTTTTCTTTCTAGTGAAAACTTCATATGGATTTTCATAACCCATAAACTGCATATCATTTATTCATTCATGCCTTTTGCCAGCGATATATATAGCGGAATTTAATACATTCATAGTAGGAGAATATAGTCTTTTCCATGACCATATGAACCGTCGCTTTTCACCACTTCATTTCCTATTAAGTCTGAACTTTCATGTTCACATAGACTTATTTAGCGACTATGGTTCAACCTCATTGCTTTCTTCAATAGACCCGATATGAGTGCTATTATGCAACTCTGCCATGGACTTTGGTCCGGATCCGGATTCTCATTAGAGAAATATTAGCAATCATAGAGGCGATGTTGTCGACAACTATTCTTTTCTCCACATACTCATTCCGTGAGGTTAATTCATTATAAACCATATCTTAGTCATTTCCCAAACATAAGATGTATGATTGTTCCACATCCCAAAATTAGATAGATGTGCGCACTTTAATTCTGGGTTTTCATCTTCATGATGAACCTATTCATGAGGCAATTCACCTTCATGGTGATTACTCTACTAGAGTTGTAAGGAGTTATTAATGGGTACATTGACAATAGTTGTTAGATCTTAGAATCCGCAAGCGTCCCTGTAGATTTTAGAACATTGACTAACATGTCACTCCGCATTTGTGGATATACTATTCAAAACTCGGGGTATACCACTGTGAGCAAAAAATTTACTACAAGTAAACATAACTTCTGATTACTCCTTTAATTCATAATTATCTGGCAAGCTCCGGCTTCTGGCTTACAGGAGAATAAACTAAACCTTCTAGTTTAGTTTGGCTTGTGCGTTATTCTTACTTATAAAGATATTTTTCTTCTTGAAAATATAAGGCATCTTTAACACATGGGCTTTTCTCCCCCTGATGCCGATATTCGATTTTTATCTAATAGCATGTCACAAAAATCCCCTATCATAGGCACTGGATTAATGGAATTCAGTCCATTTGTATCCCCAACTTCATGTGGAGGCCCATATATGTATGCTATGGTGGTGATATATGAGGGAAATGTTCATTCATTGAACACGCACTTATACAAAATAAAGGGGGTAAAGATATTATATGCAGTGAGCTAACATAAAAATTAATGCAATGGCATGAAAAATTGCACATCCCTAATACTATAGGTTATCCCAATTCATAGAGGGTTATTATTCTGCGACAATGAAGCCCAAACAAATATCCACTAGTCGACAAAATTACTCTATTTTCTAGCTTTTTTTATTTGCCCAAGACTTGATCCAATTACTCATACTATATTCAATTCTTGAATTAAGTTGGATCAATAAACTTCATGTTTATATTTATGCAACATAGATATGATCATAAGATGGATGTGTTAGTATTATATAACTTCATGATGTCTTCAAGAACATAACTATAACACTAAAACATTAATCTATGAACATAGTTTAACCATCGTGGAACTTTTCAAATCACCCAAACATTATTCTACGAGAATATTTATTCTTCTTGAATATGACAATAAATTAATTGGGTGATATGTCTAACTTTCATTCATTACGCCAAAGTAAATGTGGTGTCATTTGATCATTCAGAATCATTCGAATCCAAAAGGTCATTAATTATTTAGGATATTGTTTACTACAAGTAAACCAATAGTTTTCAAATAGCTATATGCAATTGCATACTTCCTTGATGAACTAGTAATCGTGCACGTGCAATGCACGTTTCCCACATTAGATATAGTAATCATATGAAGCCACATCTTGACTTGAAATTATCAGAGGAGAAACATCAAAATCCATGCTTATAACTTGTAGAATATACACTGGATTCAACTGATGCACTTTTTAAGGAAATGAAGCCATGGTTCCATTGTCCTGAGCTCCAAAATTGATCATTGGTATATACAAAGGGGATATTCACTTAATATCAAGCAGTGATCAAAATATACTTGTTTTTATAGGTGAGGTCTCAGGTGTCCTCTAATAGATGTTACCAAAAGGACCAGAAAAATGACAGCTTCATGACAGAACTTCTTAGGTTCTTGAGTAGCATGCAATTAAAACTTTGTGCAGAAAATGACTATTAGCAACTATGAAAGAAGAGGAAAAGAAAAAGGAAAATCTTGTTTGCTCAAGTTGCAGAACATACCACAGGCACCATGGAACAAAAGAAAGTACCAACAGCTATATCTCAAGAGATTGTATGGGCAAGGCATCTAATATTTACACATTTGTTCCTGCTATACCTGCACACTGGCTGAGCATATAATATCAACATTGATAGGAAGAGCATATAACATGTCTGTCATGAATTGTATCGATGTATGGGCAAGCATTGTACATGTTTTACAATGAATGCATCAAGATGCAAAATGTAAGTGGATCAAATGTAGAGTACACTGCATGATATATAGAACCAAAATTACTAAAATCAGTCTTTCCAGGGACCTATTTTAGCAGAAGCAAAAAAAAAAACAAATATTTAACTCTGCTCGAATAAAACTCTCTTGACCTATGGAGTTATATGTGCATATCTGGGTACAAATTGAAAGAGACGCTTACATTTAAGCTTGAGAACATTTCAACCTGATAGGCTCGTGTCAAACCAACCATTGAAACAATCCAGAAATTAAGTGATTACCAGCTAGAGTGACAGCCAAAAGCAAGCTCAACATTGCAATGGGGAAATTGCGATCAGGGAATCTTGCCAGTGATTACAATTTCGGAACAAAATTTTCGAAATTTTGCCCCCCACCGGCAAGCATATATCTCACCTGAAATTTCCCCTTTTTTCATGTTTTTTGTGAATTTGGTCAAAGTTTATTCTAAATCGTTCAAAATTTGTCAATTTTTCAAATAATTTAGGCCAAAAAAGTAACAAAATTTCAGTGATTTTGGTTCTTTCGCCCCCTCCCCCACGGCAAAACCCCCAATTTCTAGAATGCAAATCCTGAATCGTGCAGTAAAATTGTAGTGAAATACTTGGTGCACAGATGTTATTGTGTGTGGCACCGCTTCAGTTCTTTTTTTCTTTTGCAAAAAATCGAGAGCATTACATCACCTGTGGCACTTTTAGATTGATGCGTTCTTCCGCAGCTTGTACTCATGGTTCTGTTGAACCTTAGTTTGCTTCTGCTTACAACTGAGCAAAGCGTACCTCATCCGAGCTTGCTTTCTTCTTCAACACGAGCACTTAAATTAGTGGTATCATTATGCGGACCATTCCCTATGGTGTTTGCCAGTAAATTAAAATTAGTTAACTCAAACAGTACATGATATATAGTGAAGAACTCACAAGCTTAAAAGCTGTTACATACCATCGAGCTGTATAAATTAATTTCAGAGATATACAATTAGCAATTAACTGGCAGCGGCATAACAGCTTTGAAAAAGAAGCGAACATGATGTGTATTGTTTACTTGTCACTGCAAGCGATTGTGATGTAAAGCTTCCTGCATTACCGGGCCGAGCTGCCAAGGTGAGTCATGATAAACTTTATTACATTCATATCACAATTGTTGATTAAAGTAATTAATTGAGCACTCAATCGATCCAGAGTACTACCTGATGTAGATCGAACCACTATATATGGATATTTGTCAGAACCACTATCAATGTTTGTCGTTGATGAAATCCCACCGATGGATCTGAGCAACCAAAACATCACATCAGCATTTGCATGTTCCTAGCAAGGCCGAGGAACCAATCATGAGTTTGTTGTGTGTATTGTATACATGCAGAACATATGCGCGAAGCAGAACCTGAACCCGGACATGTCGCCTTCAATCCCCCTCAAAATTTGTAAAGCTAGAAGGAACAAGAAAAGGAATTGCGATGAACAAGAGCTGTAGCCAATCGTTGTACTTACAGGACAGATCGGTGGAGGAAGACCTTGGGGGTGCATGTAGCGATGCAACCGCTCGATCGTGGCGGTAGGAAAGAGATCACTTGCGTTCCGGTATTTGCGCGACGGGCGCGGCCGCAACGGCAAATCGCCTCTCGCTTGCGGCGGCAACAGGGGCTCTGACCTCGTCTTCGTGTGTCGATGGTGCGACTAAGGATGACCGGGCTGCGGCGGACTGTACGGTGAGAGGCCGGAGTGGAGGATGGCTCAAACACTGGCGGGGGCAGGCCGTGGTGGAGTGCGCCGGTGGCAAGGACACGCAAGCAGGCAGTATAGGTGTCCAAACGGGCGGCACGGCCCGGCCCGGCACGGGCACGGTTCCGGCACGGCCCGTTTCGGCACGGCCCGTTAGGCACGGCTGATGAAACGGGCCGTGCCGTGCCGGCCCACGTGCCGAGCCGCCGGCCCAAGCACGGCCCGTGGATGGCCGGGCCGTGCCCGTGCCGGCACGGCACGCCCGCGGCCCACGGGCCGTTCGGGGCACGGCGGCCCGTGAAGGCAGGCCGCCAGCCCGCCAGCCTGCAGTGCACAGTGTTTTTTTTTAAAAAAAAAAAGCAAAGGAAATGTATAAGGAAAAAAAATTAAAAATGGAAATAAAATGTTTAAAAAAAAGTAATGATTTACTAATGTTAAAAAATGAAAAAATGGTATTTAAAAAATGGAAATAAAAGTTTTTTAAAAAAGTAATGATTTGCTAATGTTAAAAAAAAGAAAAAATGGTATTTTTTTGTTGTGTTGAAAAATTTAAAAATATAGATTGTGATTCATTATTTTGAAATAATTTAAAGATAAATCCACACTTGCGAAAATATTGCAAAAGAATTTGTTAAAAATAGTAATGACCTTTATTGATGTTTATATCATTACAGGATACAATGATACATGCTGCCTCGTTAAAAACTTTGTCATGTAAAAACTCATAGGGGAAAATAAGAAAACCATGACAAAGAAAAGAGTACAGCTCAAAGGTCAGAACTACTTCTAACAAAATTCTACTGGGGTTGGTCTGGATCCAGGTAGAGTTGCTCAAACTGGGCGGCCAATTCTTGGTTGTCCGCAGTGTATTGGGCATGTTGTCGAGCAAGCTCCCAGTCTTTAACGCTTAGTAGCATTTCGACGTGGTCGCTGCGCAGAGTCGTCCTCCGGTCTTCGATGATTCGGCCGCATAGACTGAAGGCCGATTCGGAGGACACCGTCGACACGGGCACCGTCAACACATCCCGTGCTAGTTTTGAAAGCACAGGATATGTTATCTTGTGGTCATTCCACCACCCGAGGACGTTGAAATCTTGTGCTTCGTGGTGGATGGCGTCGCTGTCCAAATAACCGGACAACTCTTCGGCCACAACATGCGAAGAGGCGTCTCCACTTGTAGCCGACGAACTGCCACCACCTTGGATTGAACTTGAAGACGATCCACCCCAAATCCTACCCCACTGTATCTTCTTCTTACCTGTAGTGGGGATAGGAGGGGGTCTCTGCTGGCGAACTTCCTGAAACTTTACTTCATATCTTCCAAAAACCTCATATAATTTACGTCTAACCTCAGTATAAAAAGAACTATAATCTACACCTATAGTATCTCCAACAAGTGATAAAATAGCAGACAATCCCCTTAATTTACACCTAGGATCTAAAACAAAAGCAAGAGCATACAACATAGGTATATTTTTCCAATATTTCAAATATTTTTGTTTCATGTGAAAGACAGGTTCAGTTAGAACGTCATCATTTTCGTATTCTTTAAATAAAGTAGCAATTTCAAGAAGGTTGTGCAAAATTATATTAGCAGTTGGATAATAAACTTGTGACAAAGTTAGAGTACAATCATAAAAAGTTTCTAGAAATTGGTAAAATTTTTGGACAATTGCCCAAACATGCTCGTTCAGTACTGAAGACCCGTCACTGTTTCTTGGGCCACCACGTGACTGAACAAAATCAGAAAGTAAACTACTATAAGGTAAAACAACTTTTAACATTAAATACGTTGCATTCCACCGATGCTCTGCATCGGTGGCAAACTTACGAGCTTTCACACCGGCCGCATTGCAAAACCTCTTCCATGCAGCAATCCGCGGGTTAGAAGCAGTTAACCACGCGATTGCTTGACGAACAGCATCGATGTGGTCACCTACCCTCTTCATGCCAGTCTTAACAATCAAATTAATTATATGACATGCACAACGCTGATGGAGTAGAAAAGATTGAGCATACACACAAAATAAAGGTTGCAATATTTCAATAGCCCTAGAATTAGCAGATGCATTATCTAGGGTGACAGCAAATATTTTATCAGCAAGATTAAATTCATTAATTACTTCCCTAATTCTTTCAGCTATGTTTTCTCCTGTATGTGAGACATCTATTAACCTAAGCCCTAAAACTCTCTTTTGTAATTGCCAATCATCATCAACAAAATGAACAACTACGCTAAGATAATCCTCTCTAGCTCTACTACTCCATATATCTGAAGTAACACTAACAGAGAAAGTACATGTACTAAACAGTTCCTTAAGTGCAGTTGCTTCCTTGTGATAAACATTCTCTAAATCTCTAGTTGATGTTTGCCTACTCACAGCTTTAAACCTAGGGTTATGAGATTGCTGAATGTAATGTTCAAAAGCAGGGGACTCCCCAAAGTTCAGGGGTAAATCTTGCCTGGCGATTAACCGGACAAGAGATTCCCGAGCAACCATGGGATCGTACTCCCAACTGTGTACCGTACCGTCTGGGTTTACCATAAGTTGCTGCTGCCGGAGTTGTATTCCTTGCTTCTTGGCACACGACTCCGCATGGCGCTTGAGGTGACCTGTACCACCAGAAGAACGAGCAGATAAAATTTGCCTACATATTCTACAACGGGCTTTCGATACCTCCCTTCCGTCGGGGCATGTTTCCTTTATCTCGTCGAAGCTTTGCCACACACCGGAGGTTCTCGATCTCTTCGAGCCGGTGTGTGTCGAAACACTTCCGCTCGCGGTTCCGGAAAATCCTTCCGAAGCTGTCTCCGCCTGAACCGGTACCTCCTCAACGACAGCCGTATGAACCGGTACCTCCTCCACAGATGGTGGAGTTGGAGCCGATCCGGAGGTACCGTCAAACCCCGACATGTAGTTGGGGTCGAAATCACCCAAGGTGAACGACGGCGACTGGTATGGAAAGTTCGGATCCATTCTGAAAATTTAAACCGACATAAACAAATTTTCGAATATTTATTGAATTCACAAACACAATACAAATAATACACAAATTTGAATATTACTTACATCTTTCCAACTGCGAGCTCTTCAAACCTCTGCGATCAAACTGTTGAACTACGAAACTAATTTTGATTTTTGACAAAATTTGAGCAAATTTTGTCAAAATCAAAAAAAATGCACACTTGAGAACAAAGAGAGCACTTAAAACACTTGAGAGCACAAGATGAGGAGTGTGGGATGAGGAGAAATGGCTGGGGCTCATGCCCTATTTATAGGGCGAAATTTGAGATTTTTTGGAATTTTTTCGAAATTTTTATGAATTTTTTAGCCTCCCAACGGTTATTTTCAAATTTGAACGGTCAAATAGCCGTTAGTGCCACGTGGCGCCTTCCCATTCGACCGCCGCCCGCCCTGTCCGCGCCTGACGGGCCGCCGGCGTGCCGTGCCGTGCCGTGCCGCGGGCCGTGCCGTGCCGGCCCGCTACAGTAGCCGTGCCGTGCCGTGCCGGCCCGCGGGCTCGGCCAGCGGCCCAAGCACGGCACGGCTACTCGTGCCGTGCCGGCACGGCCCGTTACTGTAGCAGGCCGTGCCGGGCCGTGCCTGCTACAGGTTCGGCCGTGCCCCGGGCCGCCCGTTTGGCCCGGCCCATTTGGCCACCTCTAGCAGGCAGCGAGCGAGCTAGGAGGCGCAGAGGCAGCGAGCAAGAGGGCTCAGCGGAGCGAGGAGGCGGCGGAGTCATCGCGCGGTCGAGACTCGAGAGGATAGGATTGCCGAGGATAGAATCACTGGACTCGGTGGAAGATTGACGGATGAGATTATTTGACCTAGCGGATGGACAGATGAGATGAGATGGAATGATTTGGCTGGTAGGATTGGAGGGGGTAACTTCTCCTTTTTATATTAGTATAAATATGCAATTTTCAATGGCCAGTAAATAACACACTTCATTGTGTGACAATAATTCATAGTTATCCCAAATAAGATTCGTTAATAGTTTGGGCTATTTTTGCTTCTAGCATTTTGACCTATAACACACCAATTTGCCTGCCACATATCCACAATTTCTTATGCTTCTTTATTGCAAATATTCTGAAATTAATTTGCAAAATAAACATATTCCTCCCCCTTTTCACGCCAATCATAAAAAAATTTACAAAACAGTTGTCGTGATACCCACATATTTATTGTAACTTCATGGTACAACTTTTCTAAAAAAAATAATGTGGTTGCAGGTGGATATATTTAAGCTTCAATGCTTAAACATAAATATTCTAATTGTTCATGTACATAAGTAAACAACTTTACATGTATGCCAATGTGGCGTCAATGCACTTAGAACTATCAACCTACATGGTTGATTGAGGCTTAGTGGATAATATGAATACATTCACCAAAAATACTTCAAATAACAGGCAAGACAAATATTTACAATCAATGTTAGACATATAATTCACAATTTTATTCCACAAAAGGTTAAAGAATTACTACAGATAAAAGAAAGGCAATATAGGTAAGGTGAGATGACCTATATAAAAAAATATTCAGTAATCTAATGCAGAAGCTTCTATGCCTAAAGCAAAAGATAAAGATGCTCTACATGAGCTTAACCATGTTCTTCATATTGAACTTAATCTAAACTATAATGTAACTCGTGTATTGTAAAATACTATCTCAAAAGAACGAATGCAAGATTACTGTCATTACTATTCGTCTCCCCCTGAGTTGAACATCAAATTCAAATACACCAAATTCCTTTCCTTCCACAAATTTTGAGTATGCACGTTCTTCATGAACATATTAACAGTACAAGTCATATATGTGCATGCAAATGCACATGTTGACAGTAATACAACTTCTTGTGTATCAATTCTAACAACTAAACATGTTGCATCTAGGCCAAAATTGCTTCAAATACAAATGACCAATTTACTCAAAATAATTTGCATACATCCATAAAAACAATACTTCAGTTGTAAATTCATTTATACGTGGAAGATGGACATAACATTATCAATGAAATTAACTATAGACACTGCATAGGTACATAGTATTTTGATAGATAATTTTGGTGCAGGGCATATTGGCATATAGACTTCTTGTCTATATATTCGCAAATTCGATGACATTGTATCTACTTGGACACAATTAATATAAATTAGTTGTAGCTTATCTTCTATGATAGTCATGCACTAATAAATATCTCTAAGTCAATAATATACTCTCTTCATGATGAGTGTATACATTTGTTCTATACGGAGAATATATAATTGTGTGTTCTACAAATGTGGCGACAATTAGACAAAGAGAAGATATATGAATAATTCTATTGCTCATTTGCCCAATAAATGTATTTGCTACATGCAACTACTTACATGATGCCCTTTTATGCAACTTTCTACCGGTTTACTTCTAGTAAATAAAGTGCACAAAACGAGTACAAAATAGTAAAGAATGGTTTTCTATACACACCTTTTATTACAATCCTAGCAATTAACATGATTTTCTGCTATTCAAAGGTATGTGTAATTTACAGAACTACTAACCCACAGAACAATCAATTACCCCAAACAAACAATTGCCAGGAAATAAACCATAAAATATGATGCTTCCAAAAAGGGTGCTAAAACAAAGGTTTCACAAGTTCATGGAAGCTCTTTTGCCTAAAAATAATGTTTATAGGATTGATTATGGTTATTCAAGAAACTAACTAAATAGTTAAAGCAAATACTTAGAAATACGGGACTAAGGTATAAATCCTTAATTCTTCTCTATTTGGCGTAAACCCAATTCATGAAGGTTCAAAGTATAAATGGCGAATGTATATTCCCCGTAGTTTCTAATGTCCCATAGGACTTTTCCGCATAATTTCCGAGTTCTGCATAATGCTTTGGAAACCAAGGACTTTTGAAATAAAATGCCGTTTTCGGACCAAAATCACGGTTCGTGCCCGACTCCTTTTAATAGGCCAATTTCTACTTGGCCCACCTCCTTATACTAGCTAGCTTGAAAACCTGGCCAGCCCATCTCATATGTTCCCCAATGGGCTATTACGACCTTCTCCCACAAGAAGTGGGTGAGGTATGATCCAATTGCCATTCTTCAATGGAGACGACGGATGGAACCAATGGCAAACTTGCTAGTGAGCCCTTGGTAGAGATGGATGACTATGGCAAGTTGCCATGGTTAGAGGCGGAGCGGCGGTGCAACATCTAGTAGCACCGACACCGGGATTCATCGGCATCAGGCCGTGACCGGCGTCCGAAAATCATAGCTCCATGTTACGTGTCGACGAAACTCGGCTCAGCATACAGGCCGGCATGGCGGACGGCTATCGGCGGCGGGCGCTCACGGCGGCTTCGACCCTTGTCCCGGCCGCGTGCGGTAGCGCGGGAGGCATGCCGTGCGTACCGGCGGCGAGGGGAGGCGGGCGTAAGCTCCTCGGCGTCGCTACGGGCGGCGGCCGTCAATTGCGTTGCGGATGGCCTCGAAAGGCCGTCGAGTCGGCGTTTCAGATGGCGGATCGACGAAGGAAAGTCTCTGGATTGATTCGGCAACCATTGACAAAGGGGAAGACGTCATGCGGTGGCGTCAAGGTGTCGCTACGTGCAGGCGGCGGCGGCGGCGGCAGCGGCGCATACAGGTGCCGATGACTCGGATTTGTTACCATCTACTTCATACAGATAGCAATATGACAGATTATTAACATACAATTCACAACCAACAAGTGTCCCAAGCGCGCTTATCCATAAGATCGGCGATGATGAGTGTGTTAATATATTCATAGAGCAACGACTATGCTAGCCAGATAGACCACAAGTTCTAGGTGGTGTCGTGTGTTACCGAGTGTGAGGTGTCATCGTTCGGGACAACACTTCGTCGTTCAATTCAACGGATTATGTATGTGCACCTTCTTGTGTGCACGGTAAGCGTGTTCGGGCACGTGGTGCCGAACTTTGTAGTCGGCGATATAACAAGAGAAGAGTCGGCGCAAAAGGCCGGACAAATACATCTATTCATGCGAGAAATTAAAAACAATTAGAGATATGATCTAGCTTGTTAATCTCGCTACTGCTAAGTATTAGAATAGATTAAATCGATAACTTATCTCGTTTGGCCCATGTAAAGTTAGCCGGTCCGCATATGCAATTGCATAGCGTATACCGGCAGGTTGACGATGCATGCATGTAACACACTTGTGTGTCTCATCGTTTGATGCGCATGATCGTGTTGCCATAGTGCGTGATTACCATGGCAGCACGTGGCTCCCGGTAGCCGAGATTGATCGTCGGCGCATGCAGGAGCGGAGCGGGTGCTTGATGATCACTGGTGCCTCGCGTGGAGCTCGCCATGATGATCATCGGTCGGCAGCAGTATATGCAAACAAAGAGCAGATCAATCCGTGATTAGAAATGAGATCATATAGCTATATGGATGCATATGTATATTGGTGAATTGAATTTGGATGGATCCATGCGTGGGCATGCGCCATGTTTGTGATTGGCATAAGCTTGCTTCGATCTGCACATGTGCACGCGCATGTGTCGTCGGCTTAGGAGCTCCGGCGCGGACGACTGCGGCGGGGCTGCTCCTCCGGCTATCGCGCGCGTGGAGTGCGACGTGCATGCGCATCACCTGGTGGGCTGCCTCGGTGCGCGGCTGCGCTTGGAGGCGATCGTCTTGGCCGATGATAGACCAATGCATAAACACAGTAGATCAATCTGATTAATACAAAAACAAATTGATCTAGCAAAAATACTTACCCGGATCAACGGAACGAGCAAACTCGTGTTGATAACGTGTTGAATAACTAGTGGCATATTCGCTGATCTGAATAGAAGACGACGATCTCATGCACACAATCATATAGTAGATGAACACGAATATAGGGAGGGGCATCACAGCTTTATTGCTTTAACCATATGCGAATACATCAACTAACATCTCAAGCCCTCTCTCTCAGTATATATACCCATAATAGGAAGAATCCTATTAGGATACGTTCCCATATATTTGGTATGAGCCCATATTTATCTTTGGCAGGAGATAATAGTTTCATAACAATTTTGTTGCTGGAACTATTTTATTGAGCTGCACGCTCTATGGAACCATGCTAGTTTCGGGAAAACAAGGATATACACAAAAATTTCTTTAAAAAAATATTTTTTTAATACTGTGTATCCTTACAGCTCGTAATACTTGCTGAAGATACCGTAATACTCGCTGAATATCTTGTTCAACCGGGGAACTGCTATCGCAATGCACAATTTTTTTCTCAAAAAACTTTTGACCGAAAATCTTTAATGTAAAAATACTTTCATTAAAAAAATACTTCTATATAGAAACTTTCATATAAAATATAAAAAAAATTTCGATCGAAAATCTTTTATATAAAAATACTTTCATTAAAAAATACTTCTATATAGAAACTTTCATATAAAATATTGTGCGCTGCAAACATACTTGCGCCAAGCAGTCAGTGCGGCTCAAGCCCAGCCCAAATTTATGGGGCGTGAGTTGGCCCACAAAACGATGCCACAAATTGGTTTGCTAGACTTACATGTGGGCCAAAATTGCTGATTAGACATATATATTGCTACGAGACCTATCTTGTACGGTTTTGTGTGAAGATGATTAGAGACCTCAGACAGGCTCGACGTAAAGTTGAGAGACGGTAGGTGAACTTATTCCCACAAATTGGATAGCTAGCGGCGACGCGACCTGTTGCACATTGGGCCATTTGCTCAACGCACGGCCCTGCTACGAGAAAGTGGGCCCATGGCCCGACTGAAATTCGGTCGCTACGCGGAAATCGGCCTTCGCCGTCGGAAAAATGAGCAAAAAAAAAAAATCGTGACCAACGGCCACGCGCTCCCGTCCACACGAACCGAGCCATCCGCCACCCATATCCCCGCGCCCGCGCGCCCCGCGGCGTCGCCATGCCCGCGTCGCCGTTGCCGCCGCCGCAGCCGCCGCCATGCTCTCGCTCGCCGCCTCCTCCCTCCCCTCCACGCGGACCCACCGCCCGGACGCCGCCTCGCACTCCTCCTCCTCCTCCGTCCGCCTCCTCCGCTCGCTCGCACGGTCCCGCCGCGCGGACCTCGCGCACCGGGCGCTCCTGCTCTTCCGCTCGCTCCAGTCCACCCCGTCCCCGCCGCCGCCGCACGTCTCGCTGCCGGCCGTGCTCTCCGCGGCGGCCTTCCTCTCGGCGCTCCCCGAGGGACGCCAGCTGCACGCGCTCGCCGCCAAGCTCGGACTCGCCCCGTCCCACACCGTCGTCGCCAACTCGCTCCTCCACCTCTACTCCTCCTGCGGCCTCCCGGGCGCCGCGCTCGACCTCTTCCGCCGCATCCCCGACAGGTCGCTCGTGTCGTGGAACACCGCCGTCGACGCCCTCGTCGGGAACGGCGACCACCTCGCCGCGCTCGACCTCTTCCGGGAGATGCAGCGGGACACGGAGCTCGCGCCCGACGCGTACACCGTGCAGAGCGTCCTCGGCGCGTGCGCCGGCGCCGGCGCGCTCTCGCTCGGCGTCTACGCGCACGCGTTGCTGCTCAGGGAGCTCGGGGGTGACGGCGACGGCGAGGCGGTGTCCCGCGACATGCTGATCAACAACTCGCTGGTGGATCTGTACGGGAAGTGCGGGGCGCTGGAGCTCGCGCAGCAGGTGTTCGACAGAATGCCCGCGCGGGACCTCGCGTCTTGGAACGTGATGATCCTCACGCTGGCCAACCACGGTCGTGTCTGTGAGTCGGTGGAGCTGTTCGATCGGATGACTCAGGTGGAGAAGATGGCTCCGAATGCCATCACGTTCGTCGCGGTGCTCAGCGCGTGCAACCATGGTGGGCTAGTGGAGGAGGGCAGGAGATATTTTGCAATGATGGTTGATCAGTACAGAATCAAGCCTAGGATCGAACACTATGGGTGCATGGTCGATCTCTTGGCACGAGCAGGGTTCATCGAGGAAGCTCTCGATATCGTGGCTGGAATGAACTGTCGGCCCGACGCCATCATCTGGAGAAGCCTACTTGATGCATGCTGCAAGAAGAATGCCGGATTGGAGCTTACTGAGGCCATGGCCAAGCTAGCACTGGAGGTTCCTGATGATGCTGTGAGCGGTGTGTATGTATTGCTTTCGAGGGTTTATGCATCCGCGCAGCGGTGGAACGATGTGGGCATGGTGCGGCGGTTGATGGTGGAAGAGGGCGTCAAGAAGGAGCCAGGGTTCAGTTCCATTGAAATGGATGGCTTGGTTCATCAGTTCGTCGCGGGCGATACTTCGCATCCACAATCTGAGGCGATATATGAAAAACTGGATGAAATTCAGCTGAAGCTCACATCTGCTGGATACAAGCCAGATTTATCAGAGGCTCCTTTGGTTGCTAGTATTGACAATGCCAAGGGCGCCGCCCTCCGGTTGCACAGCGAGCGTCTGGCCATATCGTTTGGTCTGCTCAACGCGACGCCTGGGGCACCTATCCGGATTCTGAAGAACCTGAGAGTTTGCAAGGACTGTCACACAATCAGCAAGCTCATATCGAAGCTCTATGGCGTGGAGATCATCGTGAGGGATCGAATTCGATTCCATCATTTCAAGGATGGGTCATGTTCTTGCAAAGATTACTGGTGATCACATCATGAGCCATAACGTCTGATGCTACCAGTAGAGATCCCTTTGGTGTGTTAGAAGCGCCTCTTGCCTCCAAGCCAAGGTGAAATGGGATGTTCAATGCTGACTACAGCCTTTCATATTTTTTTTCTAGGACAGATGAACATTAGCAGATTGATTAGAGAAACAGGACATTGTATAATATATTCAATCTCATTTTCTTCTTGAGCCATCAAGGTAAATATTCTAATTACTCTGAATCACGACTGTGTCTATATGAACAACTATGTCTATATGAACAACTATGTTCACTTCATCTTGCAGAAAAATCTGAGATAAATGACAATTCTTCTGTGTTCAGGGTAACTTCTTGTGCTCGTCATGATCTAACCAAACAGAAAATTACATGCAACCAAAGCTATGCACAACTAATAAGTAAGAACCATTTGATTGTTTCTTTTGTGGAATTTTCGAGTTTTGCAGTATGATCTGATCTACTCCCTCCGTTCCAAAATAATTCAACTTCTAGAGTTTGAATTTTGTCCCACAAAAAATCAACTTCTATCATCCTACCTACCCTCGGCACTTAAAACGAGAAGTTTTATCCCTTCAAAACCCTTTGCTTACTTATCACTCTTACTACTTTTCCCTCGGCACTTAAAACGAGAAGTTTTATCCCTTCAAAACCCTTTACCTACCTATCACTCTTACTACTTTTTTCAATGATTATGGGCATTTTTGTCATTCTCCATCTCCACCCATTCCACCTTGGGATGCTAGGAATGGATTTTTTTTGGGACGGACGGAGTATATCCTTGCACTGCAAGGTTTTTGTTTAACTTTGGCAACAACTGATAAGATGATATCAAAACATGAGAACCCAAGCACATTCTAGTTCTTCTTACAATATGGAAGTATGGAATTGCAACAACTCATATCATTGAGAAAAGAAATAATTAACTAGCAGCTAAGATTCTAGTTAGTCTTTATTTTATTTATTGTTTTTACACTCTCATGCCTGTAATTTTTATTTACTCTGGATGAAGAGACTAGATTGATTTCCACTCAAACAGTAAATAAAAAGGTAAAGATAAATATTGCATGAACTTTGAGCTAATCCGGCTATCCAAGAGGACCGGTAATTTCACAATTTTGTTACAAATCAGTCGGCATGTGTCGGTGATATGAACCCGGGGGTATCAAGACCATAGGGAGGAGACTGCTCCCGGTGGCCACGTGGCCCTCCCCCCGAGGGGGGTTAGGCCTGAGGCAAGGCGGCGCCGCCCCCTACATGCCCGCCCGACCTCCTCCGCGCGGTGCCGCATGTGCTGCGTTAGGTGGGCGCCCCCAGCGCCCACCTAACCGCATTTAAGGCGGCTTGAGCGGGCACGCCACGCTGCATTAAATGCGGCGCGTGGTGCGCCTGACCGGTCTGTGACTGATCTGCAACCGGTCGAATGACCAGTGTGACCGAGGTAGTGTGCTTGCACACTGGTTGCTTGTCAGGCGGCGTGCACCCCCTGTCACATCGTGATGATGAGAGGCTGCTCAACCCCTCATCACAGCCGGAGACGGTTTGCCTAACCTGGTCAGGGTAGGGTTTCCATTTCCCAGCGCAAGAGAAGACCCAAAGGTCTTCTCCCATTAAATGTCAAATGACGTGTGTGTCCCCCCGTGTCAGTCGGATGGATTTGACAGGCCCCACACCACAACAAGGAGTGCCAGAGACTTCCAGGACAAGCAACAAGACATGCATTTAATGTGATTATCCTCCCTGAATAGGCTCAGTGGGCCCATGTGGTAACCCCTTGAGGTATAAAAGGAGTTCCATGCCTACTTAGGGGAAGATGAGCCCTTTTTTACTAGACGAATTTGGTGCCCCTCATCATCAACATCTTCTACTCCAACAAGGAGATCTTGTAATTTCTCACCCGATTAGCATAGCACAGGAGTAGGGTATTACGCTTCTCAGCGGCCTGAACCTGTATAATCCCTTTTATCTCATCGTTCTCGAGAGGCCCGACCCTCTCTACTTCGTTTTTTTTCGCTAAGTTCTCGAATCTCACTCGCTGCCCCCCGGCCAAACCAATGAGAGGGGCCTCACTGTCCCCCGCTTGAGGAGTTCACCCTCCGACAGCGTGGCCACTCAACAAAATCTTAAGTCAAAACTTAGCTGACACATTAAAAATAAAAAAGACAAATCCAATGCCTAAACAATATTGTTACTATTCACACTGAATTTATCTTTTTTTTCTCAATATGCAGATCGAATTTGAGCTTGATTTGGTGGAGTGATAGATGCCATTGCACTCTACATTGTCATTTTTTTTACAATTATTTACATTGAATTTGAGAGGGAAAAAACTACGAGGGGAGTGATTAGAATCCATTTCTGCTTTCAATTCAAATATAGAGTGAAACACACAACGATCTCTAAACTTGTAGGTGTGTCACCTAGATTCATGAACTCTCAAAATGCATTTTAGATCTTTGAACTTATTCCGGATGTCATATAGGTTCAAATGGGCCTCAGCTGATTTCGTACATTAATATGGTATTCCACGGTGGTACCTACATGTTAGTGGGACCCACATGCCAGTCATATAGAAAAAAAAAGAGAGATGAGAAAAAAGAAATAATTTTAAAAAAACAAAATGAAAAAGAGAGGAGACAGAGGATAAAAAGATGTTTTAAATTCTTTCTATATGGGTCTCACTTACTCATGGGTGTCACCAATCACCATGGCATGCCACATCAGTTGAGCTGAAACCCGTTTGTTCCATATGACACTAATGACAATTTCGGTAATCCGACAATAAATGTTAAAGATAGCCTATAGCACACTCGTACAATTTTAGAGACCGTTCATGTACTACACTCTTCGAATATATCACCAACAAAATATCATAGCACATCACTCTTTGTTAAAAGGAAATAATTTCATATTACTGACACTTCTAAAACCCCAACCACCAAGGCACCAACAACGCAAAACTCTCCCCGCGCGCCACGGCGCGTCCGAGAATAGCCACAGCCACCCCGCGCGCAACGCCGCAACGCCCGCCCGTCGCGCGCACCAGCGCCGTCGCGCGCGGCGCGCCACCCCAGCCCCCAACACACAAAAGCAACGCCAAGCCTCGCACGCGCGCGAGGCCGACGCAAGGAGGAGAGGCTGCCCCGGGGGGAGAGAGAGATCACCCGCCTCGCCGCCCGCCCGCGCCGCGGCGGATCGATGGAGCTGTTCGAGCGCGCGAGGACGGTGCGGCTGCGCGGCCACCATGACAAGTACCTGTACGCGGAGGAGGACGAGTCGCGCGTCTCCCAGGACCGGAGCGCCTCGTCCCCGAACGCGCGGTGGTCCGTCGAGCCGGTCCCCCACGCCCCCGGCGTCCTCCGCCTCCGCAGCCACTACGGCCGCTACCTCTCCGCCTCCAACGAGCCCTTCCTCCTCGGCGTCACCGGCCGCAAGGTCCTCCAGGCCCTCCCCCACCGCCTCGACTCCTCCGTCGAGTGGGTCCCCGTCCGCGACGGCGCCCACGCCCGCCTCCGCACCCGCTACGGCAACTACCTCCGCGCCAACGGCGGCCTCCCGCCGTGGCGCAACTCCGTCACCCACGACGTCCCCCACCGCCACGCCGGGTGGATCCTCTGGACCGTCGAGGTCGTCGAGGTCCTCCCGGAATCCCTCGTCCCCGCCCCCATCGCCTCCGACGACGACCCCGCCGCGCCGCATTACAAGACACCTTCTCGCGGGCCCTCTCCCGTGCCGACGCCGGCGCTGGCGCCTGCTTCGCCGCCGCGGCACCGTCCGGCGAGCCCACCTTCGTACTTAGCGCGGCCACCGCCGCCGCCACCGGGCTACATCGAGCCACCACAGGGATACATCGAGCCACCTCCACCGGAGCCCACCCTGGCGAGAATTGAGGTCCGTACTTTCCACGCCCGCCATCTGCTCGACGAATTGTACAGCCCAACAGGGATGTTAGATGAAAATGCCAAGTGCTTATTGTTGTTGCGGACGCATTTTGCCATTTTAGTCCACAGAATCCTTCTCGCTGCCGCTGCACAAGGTGGATGGGCGGGCGATCCACTACCACATTGGGGATGACAACGGCGACATCGGCGATGATCAGGAAGGACACTCATTCACGTTCAACGGGACTAGCCTGGAGGAGCTTTTGGAGAGGTTGCAGGAGGAGACGGGGCTCAACGACGTGATTATCTGCTCTCGTAGCCCGATCAATGGGAAGCTCATGCCCCTCCGCTTGCAGCTGCCGCCCAACAACGCCGCCATGCATATCGTGCTCGTGCGTGAGTCATCAAAAGGTGGGCTTTTCTTTTCATCAGTTATTGCTCATACCATTAGATTCACATTTCACACCGGTGGAACATGATATGTTGAATCATGGAATTTAACGATACCTACTAAATTTCTATATACCATTAGATTGATACTTGATAGGCCTCCTATAAGCACAATATACCATCCTTTCTTCAGTGTTAGCTGAAGTGCTCAACTGTGTATAAAATGGTGAACTTCAAACATAAAAATAGGTTAATTCAGAATGCTAACATTTTAAGTTGAGTTTTTGGTTATGCAGATATTTGTCGTTATTTAGTCAATGCACACTGAGCCAACATCCCCTAAACATTTGCTAAATCCTGTATAGTAGATGCTAGTTTAAATTCCTTTATTGAAATAGCTGCAACACAATAATATTGTGGCATGCCATGACCTTATCATATTTACTGACCATCAAATATACTTGGCGGAAAATGGAAGCTAAAATGCATATTGATAAGATATCGATTTTGTGTAAAGTTAAAATTTTCAAGTTAGGACGTTTTAGTGACTAACACTACGATTTTGTTCTTATTTCTTACTCTGATAGAAATGTTTTATCTTTCAGTGGCAAAATCATTTCCATGACCATGTGGTAAAATTTGAAGAGGGTGGTGTCAGCGACTCAAATCAAGCAAGAACTGTGCATCTGTTGTATATATTGTAATCCCTGTTTATTATCAGTTCCACTGGCTACCATAATCAAGTATTATTCTTCCATCTTCAGGAGATCTCATTCTTGTAAGTATTTGCTTCTGTCAACTTTTTTATCATTTATTCAACAGGTAGAGTGATCTCTGGTAGCTAAAGACCCTTCAAAATGCCTATCCTGTCATTCCTCAGTTCTATAGAATAAACTATTCTCTAGGAAATCCACTTGTTCTCCTTTTCCATTTTGATTTTAATACATAAAATCAGAATGTCATTGTTAATTAATTACCCGTGAAGGTATATTACTGCAGAAAAACCAGAAACTTATTTCATATTTGTAGATTAATCCCATATATGTTCTTAGCATGAACAACCGATCTAACTTCTGGGGCAATTTCAATGGTCTGGGACCATGGGGTCTGTTTTGACATGCATGGCTTCAACTCGACCTTCCTCAGTACGCGATGAGAATTGTTGAGGGGACTATGCTGGTATTTTGCTTGAGACCTTTTTTATTTTAACGGTCATTACACTACAAGTTACATATAATTACATCTGTCAAATTTTTATTAGAAAATTTGTCGATAAATATATAGCAAATTCGATCCAATGTTGATGAAGCTTTCAGGCCTTGTTCGGAATGATCCGAACCCAGCCTTTCCTATAGGCGAATGTGCCGGGGCACAACAAGCAAGGCCTTACAGTTCAGCTGATTTTTTTAAAAACTTACCTTCAATAAACAAATAGGCCGAATTTTTTGAATTGTGGATGCATCTTTACATTTCGGAATCAAGGTAATGATACCATAGTTTAACCTTGCAATATCAATTCTACCATCATGGAAGTCATCAATTAATTATTTCAAATCAGATCTAATGATTTCCCACAAAATTTTATAGAATTCAATGGGGGGAAATCCCAATTCGTTTTGCTTTTACCAACAAGATGGGATAATCCTTAGGATTTCCTTTCTCCAAATTCATGGATATTGGAGCTCGTTCACTGCTGTTCTATGCTTCTAGACGTAGGAGAAAACAACCAAAAAAAACTGACCTTACAAGACGTTCACTCCGATGACACGTTACACTCTTCACCCTCATTTCTGTCGCCCCAACACTTGTATCTACCAACCTTCCAAAATCACGAAGCTGTTAGTCCCATGCAATAACATCACAAAGCCACTTTATATGCGTAAGCATTTGCACACAAGCTAGAGACACTCACCCACTGCTCGCCATGGCGCACCGGCACGTCGGCGACCTGGAGGCGGCGGCGTACGGCGGCGGCCGGTTCGGGTTCACCGGCGGCCTGGAGTTCACCGGGCTGACGTACACGGTGACCAAGAAGCAGCGCGGCGCCGGCGGCGAGTGGGAGAAGAAGGAGGTGGACCTGCTGCACGAGGTCACCGGGTACGCCCCCAAGGGCTGCGTCACCGCCGTGATGGGCCCCAGCGGCGCCGGCAAGTCGACGCTCCTCGACGCGCTCGCCGGCCGCATCGCCGCCCGCCTCGGCGGCCGCGTCGCGCTCGACGGCGTGGAGGTGAGCCCCGGCCTCGTCAAGCGCTGCTCCGCCTACGTCATGCAGGACGACCGCCTCTTCCCCATGCTCACCGTCCGCGAGACCCTCATGTTCGCCGCCGACCTCCGCCTCGGCGCCTCCGTCCCCGCCGCCGACAAGCGCCGCCGCGTCGACGCCCTCATCGACCAGCTCGGCCTCGCGGCGTCCGGGAACACGTACATCGGCGACGAGGGGACCCGGGGCGTGTCCGGCGGCGAGCGGCGGCGTGTGTCGATCGGCGTGGACATCATCCATGGCCCCGCGCTGCTGTTCCTCGACGAGCCGACGTCCGGTCTGGACTCCACGAGCGCGCACAGCGTGGTCGAGAAGGTGCGCGACATCGCCTGCGCCGGGAGCACCGTCGTGCTCACCATCCACCAGCCGTCGTCGCGCATCCTGCAGCTGCTCGACCACCTCGTCATTCTCGCGCGTGGGCAGCTCATGTACAGCGGCGCGCCACGGGAGGTCGCCGCCCACCTCGGCCGCATGGGCCGCCGCGTTCCCAAGGGGGAGAGCTCCATCGAACACCTCCTCGACGTCATCCAGGAGTACGACCAGTCCGAGTTCGGCGTCGCCGCCCTCGCCGAGTTCTGCCTCACCGGCCTCAAGCCGCCCAAGCTCGCCGCCGACGGCATCTCCACCGTCTCCAGCATCCCTCCGACGCCACTCCTCGCCGGCGAGGAGGACTTCGACCATAGCCTCCGGAGCCAGCACTCCAGGTCGCCATGGAGCGCCGCTGCCGCCGCCGCCGCGACCCAGTTCACGCCGTCCCGCCGCCCCAAGAAGGACCACCCGGAGATCGTGATGGGCACGCCGACGCCACTGAGCATGAGCGCGTACACGCTGAGCGAGGGCGACTACCGCACGCCGCCACCACCACGCCACGCCGCCGCCGTCACCACCCTCGGCGGCCACCGCGGCAAGTTCGCAAACACCTACGGCGGCGAGGTGTGGGTGCTGATGCGGCGCAACTTCACCAACATCTGGCGCACGCCGGAGCTGTTCCTGTCGCGGCTGATGGTGCTCGTCGCCATGGGCGTCCTCATGGCGACCATGTTCACCAAGCCGAGGGACGACGACCAGGGGGTGACGGAGAGGCTGAGCTTCTTCGTCTTCACCGTGTGCGTCCTCTTCTTCTCCTCCAACGACGCCGTGCCGGCGTTCATCCAGGAGAGGTTCATCTTCATCAGGGAGACGTCGCACAACGCGTACCGCGCCTCGGCCTACGTCGTCGCCGGCGTCGTCACATACCTCCCGTTCCTCCTCCTCCAGTCCGCCGCCTACGCCGCCATCGTCTGGTTCGCCCTCCGCCTCCACGGCCAGTTCCTCTACTTCCTCGTCATGGTCTACGCCTCCCTCCTCTCCACCAACTCCTTCGTCGTCTTCATCAGCTCCGTCGTCCCCAACTTCATCCTTGGGTAAGCAACACAACTCTCACCTCACCTCACTCAATCCTACCGAGTCACATGTACAAACCAGTTCAACTCAAAAACTTAAACCGATGAGCAATTTTATAGTTCTTAAGAAAGTACCATGAGGTACCACTTTTTCTATTGTAAATTTGGTATCTCTTGACATCGAGGTACTATGAGGTATTAAATTTTACACTAAATTTTTGGTACCTCATGGTACCTCCTCAAGAGCCTTAAAATTGCTCTAAACCGATAAGTAAGGGCATAGTACAATTGACCTAGGCCCTACTGGAGAGGAGCTTCTAAAAGTTGCGGCTTCTCCCAGAATCTCTAGCTTTCCTAAATACTTCAGATTCTCATATGGCTTATGAGAATTTGTAGTTATAAAATTCAGAAAAATGAACTAGAAAAGAGAAATGTTTCCTAGCTTTCCTAGATTGTTAGAAGCTAGCTAATTTCTTAGAATCATAAGCTTCTCTAAACAGTGTACACTTGTGCAGGTATGCGGCGGTGATCGCATTCACGGCGCTATTCTTCCTCTTCTGCGGCTACTTCCTGGACAGCCACAGCATCCCGGTGGGGTGGAAGTGGATGAACACTATTTCCACGATGAAGTACCCTTACGAGGGGCTCCTGATGAACGAGTTCCAGGGAGGGAGGGTGTTCTCGTCGCACCCGCCGCCGGCGCCGCCGCTCACCGGCGATGTCATCCTCGAGCACCTGAAGATCAGCACGGCGGAGGATCGCAAGTGGTGGATGGTGCTGTACCTCATGGGATGGGCCGTCTTCTACCGTGTCCTCTTCTACCTCGTCCTCCGCTTCGCCTCCAAGAACAAGAGGAAGTGATGATGATGCCCATGGAGGCTATGCAATGCAAGTGGAGGTGATTATATTTAGTCGATTACAAAACTAAACTGGATATAGGACGCACTTCAAATTTGGTTAATGAATGTTTTAAAATTTTAATTTATGTTTGGATAGATCGGGAGCATCCCCCAAGACTTGATTAACCACGAGATTTGAGCTGAGGATGTTGTGAATTTGTTCTTATAAGTTTTGGAAATATTTTACCCTTACTCAGAGTGTGCTTTTTCAGCTAATGGATTACTCGTTTGTGCCGTCCAATAATTTTCATAAAGTCAGTTTCATCCACCATCCAGAGCTGAATTTAAATTTTAAGCTTTGATCTTTTATGGTTTTAGGGATTTTCTTCATCACTTTTGTCACCCAATTCATTTTTCTTTAAAAATATACTACTAAGAAGAGAAGTAAAAGTACTGCCCAAAACTATTATCCGAAAACAAACTTAAAAAATAAAAATTGCTTTGGATTATAATATGGAAAAGTGCCAAAAAAATAGTCTAAAGCAAGGTACTTCTTCGTTTCAGATTATAAGATGTGGACTTTGGTCAAAGCCAAACTGTTTTAAGTTTAACCAAGTTTATAGATAAATATAGTGATATTTATTTTACCAAAGTTTTATTAAGTTAATAATTAAATATATTTTTATAATAAATTTATCTTGGATCGCAAATATTACTATTTTTTTATAAACTTGGTCAAACTTAAAGCAGTTTGACTTCTTATAACTTAATACGGAGGGATTAGTTAATATCGCTATCATATCAGTCATCCTAAGTAGGATCAAAATGGTAAAATCGTATATTCTACCTAATGGTAAAATCATATATTCTACCTAATTAGGTCAATAAAATTGTATAACAGAGTCGAGATTTTGACAACCTAAGCGTAAAGCGACTAAAGCCCGCTCTGGTTGTGCTTGTGCTAGCCCTCCTGGATTGTTCTCTTGTCAATTAATTTGCATATTCTGAAACGAACACACCGGTTTGCTGCTAACTAATAATGCATTTTGAACTCTTGAAAGCATGGAATCCTATTCCTTCAAATCTTCAAAGAGAAAGCATTTCGATCAAAAGTATCTCTCCCTCTCCTTTTGCATGGTTGCCGCTCTGCCGCGTTCCATTGTTTTTCATCAAATCCTCCGCTTTTCCAGCCGCGGAGGCGTAAGCCCTACACTCCCTAGCGCAACTTGCAACTTTGCCAGCCATGGCGCTGCCAGCTAAATACGCCCGCGCCGCGCTGTGTGCTTGCGTCTACTACCACTACCACTCAGCTTCTTCTTCTTCTTCTTCTTCGCGCGCGAGAGCTTGGTCTACCTAGCTAGCTAGCTGTTCTTGGGGGGATCGAGATGAGCGATCCCAGGTACGCCTACCCGTACCCTTCTCAAGGTAAGCATCTAGCACTGAGCTACTGATCGATCCATGAATCGATCTATGAATGAATTATGGGATTATATATAGCTTAATTCGATTGATTGGTTGGTGTGAGTTTTGAAGGTTATTACAACCAGGGGCCGTACCAGGGGCCGCCGGTGATGGCGCCGCCGCACGCGCAGTACCAGTACCAGTACGCGCAGCCGCCACCGCCGCCGCGGCAGCCGGGCTTCCTCGAGGGATGGTACGGTATCTATCTATCTATCTATCTATCTATCTATCTATCTATGTCGTCGTCGTCGTCGTCGTCTATGGCCAAGGTCTCGGAAAGTTGGAATTCAGCAATTTCTCGGACTGAATATTCGCTGATCGATCGTGTTTTGTGTTTCTTGATTTCTTCATCAGCCTCGCCGCCCTCTGCTGCTGCTGCTTGCTCGACGAGTGCTGCTGCGACCCCTCCGTCATATTCGTCACCTGAAGACGACGACGGCGACGAGGAAGAAGAAGATGGGAGGCTTAGCTGATTTCGTCCATGTTAATATGTCTGCAGTGTACAAGGTCGATTAGTTGATGCTTGGTTGTTCAGTTGCTTGTAGCTTGCCTATCTTTGTTCAGTTGTTTTCTCCTCTATTTTTTTTCTTTCTTCTTGCCTACTATCTCCGTTCTATAAAAAACTAAATTCTGAAGTATGAATCTGGACTTAGGCTACGTCCGAGTTTAAATTCGTAGCTAGAAGTTGTTTTTTTATTGGACGGAGGGAGTATTTACTACTACAAATCAATTTGTGTATCGATTCAGCAATACTATTGTGGCAGTTGTATGAGATGGAGATCATGTATGTTTTTTTTTTGGAAGTGAGCATGTATGGTGGTGTTTTGATGAGCTGCAATTTTTTAGGAAATCTGATAGATTGTGTTTGGTGCGAAGTTTGGTCGAACTTCGGTGAGGGATTTGGGTGTCCCATTTTTTCACTCATGCTGTCAATTTTGTTTAAAGTTCATCCAAAAGCTCGAGTTAATGAGGAAGAATGGATAATATGATTGGTTCTAGGAATAAAGCAAGTGGAAGCTTTATGAGGAATAAAGTTACGGAGGGATTTTAATTCTACAAGTCAATTTTTAATTTTGAAGCACAGATGCTGGCACTCATATACACTATCTGAAAGTGACTCCTAATGACCATTTAGATAGCATAACATATAGCCCATTTATGAGCATAATATCGCAGCAAAATATTATTATGCCTATGCATATATTGGAGAATACATATATAACTTTTATTTTTGGGGGGGAAGATATAAGTGTTAGATAATAACTCCAATGGGCTACGAATTAGCATATATTCCATATGCTATATTTCCTATAATGCCAATACGCAAGCAGCTGATTCTAGTAAATATTACCACCAAAATAGTTTCCTAGATTCTTCTCTTTTGTATCTTAAATAAACATACATTTCCCCTGGCATTCTTCTTCTCTAAATATTAAAATGTTGACATTCTTTTTTTTTTACATAGTGCACCACTAACGACAGAGGATATGTTTTGAATTCTTTGATGATAGATACCATGTATTCTAGACAAACGCTTCCGATGATGGATATATTAAACCATTCATATATGCCCACTATAAAAATGTTTCCAACAAATTAGTAACAAAAGTTTTAAAAGTATAATATGCATTTCACCTGTTTTCCCTCCAAGCTCTGGATTCTGCAGCAGCAGTGCCCATTGTTTCGCCTAAACCTGACAAGTCATAAAACGACTTATCAACAGCTTAAAGAATAATTTATAGGTATATTTTTTATATCCAACATAGAAAATAAATTACAATAATTAAACCTTAAAATCAACTTTAAAATTCAAAATTTTAGTAGCGGCTCACAACCTCCAAGCCCATGCGAAACCGAGGCCCAGAGAAATTAGCGGCCCAGCCCAAGCACCCAACCCGGACGACGTGGAGCCCACTTCCAGTAGGCCCAAAGCCCAGTACCCGAACCCGCGCGACGTGGGGCCCACGCTCATTGTGGTCCAATCCAAACCCCGCACAAACCCCCTCCTCCCTACCCATTCTCCCCTCTCTCCGCCGAACCCTCCAGACTCCGCCGTGCCACGCACGGCGGCGCCGCCCCTCTAAACCCACCAACTCCGGCGCCGCCTCGCCCCCGCACTTATATGTCGCTCTCCTCCACCTCCACCTCCTCCCTCCTCCTCCTCCTCTCCCCACGCGGCAACCCTAGGCGCCTCCTCCCCCTCCTCCTCCCTCTCCGCCTCTCCTCCTCCTCCTCCGCCGCCGCCGCTGCCGCTGCAATGCCTCCCCGCCGCGACCGCCACCACGTACGCCTTCCTCCCCTCTCCTCTTCTCCGGCATCATCGCCCACGACTCACGAGTGTGTGTGTGTGTGTCTCTCTCTCTCTCTCGCAGGGCAAGCAGCCGCAGCAGCAGTGGAAGCCCAAGGCCACGGACCCCGCGGCCGCGGCGCCGGCTGTGGTGGCGGCGGCATCCTCACCCGCGTCGTCGACGTCCTCTTCCGCTGATTTCGCCGGGGGGGTCGAGAGGATGACCATCTCCCCGTCCCCGCAGGGAGGGGCGTCGCAGGTGTGGGTGCCCAGGGGGTACGCGACCTCGGCGTCGTCGTCCTCCTCCTCCTCGTCGGCGGCGGCGGCTGAGCAGCGCATCGACGCTGAAAAGCTCTCCAGGGTGTTCAAGGCCGCCCCGAACTTCGAGGTGGACAACAACACGTTCATCCAGTCGCAGATCAGGGCCACCTTCTACCCCAAGTTCGAGAACGAGAAATCCGATCAGGAGGTGCGTGCTTGGTTTCCCCCTTTCCCCCGTGTCATTCGATCGCTCGTTGTTTTGATCGCGTTGTGGCAATGCAAGTGTTATGTGAATCACTTTGGCGGGAGTTCCTAACCCCTCGATGCTCCATGATCGTTTTGGGGAATTTGGTTGTTTCCGAACTGATGATCATCTGATTGTCTAGATGTTACTTCCACATTTTGAGTCATAATTGTAGGGTGAGATGGTTAGTTAAAGAAGTTTTTGGTAGCCATTGTTTGATCCTATTCGAATCAGTCAATGGCCTTGGGGCAGTGAGGCCGTCCATGTCTTTTTCTAGGCACGGCTAATTTCCAATAATCCATTGCTTAATTGCTCTATGTTTCCATCCATTGTGGCTGTAATAACTCGTTAAATTGAGTGGAATTAGTTGCTGCGCACTTGCAATACATTTAACCGTTGGATGCGTTAGCATGTTATCGCACTATAACTTCTGGAGTAATTTCACAATTTTTTTCATGACTTTTAACATGAGTTGACTTGATGGATGATTTTGCGACTTACCTTTCTCCTTGGAGACAATGCATTGGCGTTTTTACTCATTTGTTTTTTTTGGTAGCTATGAGCTCTTAATGTGTTTCATAGTACCTCATTTAGGTGCTCTTACAAAGATATGTTATTGAATTGACTATACAGTAAATGCTTGTAGCAATGGAGTTTTCTAGTCAATTTGGATTTCCTTTCAATAAATTTAATTATTTAGAGTTTTACTGATGTGTTTCCCTCACTTTCATGATGGCAGACTAGAACCCGGATGATTGAGATGGTGTCACATGGCTTAGCTACCTTGGAGGTATATTGCTGATACATGGTTTTTGGCTTTTAATTGCAGGAAACACAATAAGTAATTAGTTTGATGGTTTATTGTGTTTTTTCTTCTAAGATATTTTTGTTTCCTCCAGGTTACGCTCAAACATTCAGGGTCTCTTTTCATGTATGCTGGCCACCATGGTGGTGCATATGCCAAGAACAGCTTTGGAAATATGTATGTTGTGGTAATTTGTGTTGAATTTTTCTCAATCTATTTATGCTATGACTGAAGGCCAAGTTTCTGCCTGTAGTTACACAGCTGTGGGCGTTTTTGTTCTGGGACGATTGTTTCGTGAAGCTTGGGGGAAGGAAGCACCTAGAATGCAAGAGGAATTCAATGTTTTTCTTGAGGTATATGCCATGCCCCGCACAACTTTTCTTGGTACTCCTTACATTGAGTTTTGTATTATGCATGTTTCTGTGCTTGTCGTATATCATATATGCAGCTATTAGTACTTGGTACCTGAAGTATTCCTTTAGGATATACTAGTTGTGCAGGGAACTAGGTGAGTGAATATTATTTTGCCTTTACTCTGTTGCATTTTAGTCCTATTGAGCATAGCTCCTTAATTTGGTATGCCCTTGTGCCTTTTAGGATATATTAGAGTAGCTTAGGAACCCAAAGGAGGGCTTTTTGCTATTATCTAGTGTTCACCAGTTAAATTACAACCACATTAAAGGTAATCTTTGTAGCTATGCTCAATTGCTTTCCAAGTCATACTTTGCTGGAATTAAGCACACATCAAGCGTGCTCGATGCATTGTGGTTTCACTAGTAGAGGGTGTCTGGATCTGCATTTTCTTGAGAGTACTGATACCATCCTGTTTTGCGCTGCCCTTATAGAAAAAATGCATAAGCATTTCAATGGAACTTGTCACTGCTGTGTTAGGAGACCATGGTCAAAGGCCAAAGGATGATTATGGTACGTCATTTCCTTTTCTGACCTTCGTTCTGTTTCATTTGCACCCTTGTAATTGCTATTTGTTCCAGTGCCATAAAAAAGTATGTCTAGAAGGTCTTCTTATGAACATTGATTTTTTGACAACTTTTCTGGCAAGTGGCTCGCATTTTGTACACCAAAATTCTGTAGGCTGTGTTTATTATACAGCCTAGCCATCTCATATTCTGGATCCTGAAATTACATTTTATCCATGATATGTTTGGGAAATTCTAATTATTAAATGTGAACCAGCCTGCTTTGATATGCCCTTTTTTTTGTTACTCTACTTGCCATGGTAGTGCTGATACTTGGATGGTATAATTTGGAGGAAACTACTTTTGCCACTGTACTTTGAGTTCACTAGCTGTGTTCACTCCAATTTTCACTTTCAGCATTATTTATTGTATATATGAAATGCATTATTTATCATCTTATTTGGCATTTGTGCAGCTGTGATTACTGCTGTGACTGAGTTGGGTCATGGCAAGCCAAAATTTTATTCTACTCCAGAGGTAATTGAGTTTTGTCGGAAATGGCGTCTACCTACAAACCATGTCTGGCTATTTTCGACAAGGTGCTCATCTGATGATATTTGGAAGCCTTGCATTCCATCATACTTGTGTGTTCTACATTCATATTAAATGTGAAAGGTTTTGGTGCCATCAGTTTAATATAATAGATCTGTAGAGCTTTACATAGGACTAAAATTCCTAAACTCCTGATGGTAAAATTACCAACCATGACTTCTATTTTATTGAAACTATTTCCCTCGTCAGAAATATATCCATTTTTTGTGTTATTTATTTTTTATTTCTGATATCAACTGATCACTGAGTTGATTTGATCACTAGGCTTATGCCAATGTATGCTTGTACAGAAATTGATGTCTCCATTCTAAGAACGTCTTATATTCATTGATTTGCATCCCTATGGTGTAGATAATCGTAGCTTTGAAGCTACTCTGTGTTCATTTTCTGTTCAACTCCTATCCATCAGACTTGTATATATTATTTTTCACTCAACCTCAGAGCATGCATATATATCCGTGATTGGGTCTGATGATCGTAACATTACTATGTTTGATGTATCTTTTACTAGGAAATCTGCCTCGTCATTTTTTGCTGCATATGACGCTCTATGTGAAGAGGGGACAGCAACATCTGTTTGCAAAGCCCTAGATGAGATAGCTGATGTAGCTGTACCAGGTATACTTATCTTGAATCATTGTCTTACTGCTTTGTAGACTGAACTGGTATCCTTTCATCTCGTTTCCTCATAGTACTTACTATTATGTAATTTCTAGGGTCAAAGGATCATGTAAAGGTGCAGGGTGAGATACTTGAAGGCCTGGTTGCCCGTATTGTTAGCCGTGAAAGTTCAGTGCAAATAGAAGAAGTCTTGAGGAACTATCCCCTGCCTCCATTAGATGGAGGTAAGTTGCTAAAATAAATGAGTTGTTTCAGTTTACTTTAATGATCAGTATACATATCAATACTAAGTGGGGATGGGAGTGAGCTGTGGTGCTATGTGCCAATCTACCGGTACCCATAGGCCCATTTAAATTCAACGAAATGAACTACTTACCCAGCATGAACTAGAAAAGCTGCAAAGTTGATTTAGTTGAACTACGGTGGGTTACCCACTAGAGTATTGTTTGATCCAGACCCAGACCCATCCCTAATACTAATAAGTATTCTTTTCTTCTTTTTTTTTTTCGAATATGCATACTAAGATATTCTCATTAGAACAAATGGACCAATTATTTTCATACTTCTACTATGGAAATACTTTTTTTTTTGGACAAGAAACTATGGAAATACTACTCGTGTTATTCTGTTGCTAACCTCTCGGTAAGTGAATGATCGAACCATATCATTGTAAGAGAATCATAAGAAAATTATTTTTATGCACTTGTATTAGAAAAATGACAGAAGGCGGAATTGAAAAATACTGCAATTATATTCTTTGGTTATGATAACTTTGGACGCGTTTGGGACTTTTTCTCATTTAGAATGTCATATAAACCCACAAGTAAAGCATTTTTTCTTGAATCGTGCCCAACCACATGGATTACATAAAAAGGAGAACATTCACTTTTGCAATTGTGTATAGATCTGTGAACCATGATGTTGGTATAATTTGCTTTTATTCAAATTCTTTTGGGTGCATTTAAGTACTACCTCTGTTCCATAATAGGCACACTTCTAGCCTACTTACTACTTTTGTCCCACAAAGAGTGCATTTCTAGCCTGCTACCTTTCCCTCCAACCACATTCCTTTCAAATTTCTTCCCATTTTACCCTTAACTACTTTTTCACTCCCAACTGGCACTCATTTAATAAGGGGTATAAGCAACATTTTACATTCAATCCCTACTATTATGTGCTTTGCATGCTAGGAATGTATTTAGGGCTGGAGGAAGTATGTCCTAGGTTTTCTTTTTGGATATGTTTGAGTTGTGAAGTGGTAAATACTGCATCTTTTATCATTTATTCAGAAGTTCTTTTTTCCTATGCAGTTGGCTCTGATTTAGGACCAAGTCTGCGAGAAATATGTGCTGCTAATAGATCAGATGAAAAGCAGGTATAATTCAATGTTGTTAAGTTTTATTTTTTGATCGTTTTTTATTTTCCTTGACTTTGCATTGTTCTCATCCTGTTTATTTAAACATCTAACTACTTTGACATGGCCAGCAAATTAAAGCACTTCTTGAAAATGTTGGACCTTCAATGTGTCCAGACCATTCTGATTGGTTTGGATGTAGTGGCCTTGATGATCATCAGTCTCCAAGTGCTAACAGATCGGTCGTCACTAAGTTTTTGCAAGCACATCCTACAGACTACACAACTAAGAAACTGCAGGTTGGCATCTTTGATTGGTTCTTGGTCAGCAATAGATTTTTTTTTATGCTGTAATACTTCTGTATCTGCTTTTGTCAGAGGATAATTTAGTCCCAACGTATTGTTACAGGAGATGATTCGTGTGATGAAGCAGAGGAATTTCCCTGCAGCTTTTAAATGTTATTGGAACTACCACAAAATTGACTCTCTATCGAATGACAGCTTGTATTACAAAATGGTCATCCATGTGCTCAGTGATTCTGTTTTTAGACGCTATCAGCAAGAGATGAGGTGAGCATGTAAAGTCGACCTTATGTCTCACTTTTATGTTTCCCTAATTTGTTAGCTCTAAAAGAATGCCGCATTATTTTCAGGAGAAATCAAGGGTTGTGGCCACTGTATAGGGGTGAGATTAGCCTTCTGTTACTCAATTATCTTCCCTCAAAATAATAAGGTCATATTTCTTACTATTCATACATTTATTATGACACCATAGACTGACCTATGTTTCATTGTTAGGTTTCTTTGTTGATGTAAACCTGTTCAAGGTTAATAATATGAAATCTTCCATACCTTCGGAAGACATTGACACCTCACTGAAAAATATCAATGGTGCCTTGGATTCAAATTCGTCAGCTAAGGATGGTCTGGCTGATGAGGATTCAAATCTGATGGTGAAGCTAAAATTCCTGACATATAAGGTACTTCACTACCATTATTCCCTGTCTTCCAGCTATATATATGTGTTCATTGGTCACTGTTTGAATTTCCAATGGTAACACTATTTAATCTGTGTTGAATATCCAATGGTAATACTATTTACTCTGTAGTTACTTTCATTTTGGTGTGCTCTTAAGTTTTTTTTTGTTACAGTACAATGTTCTTGCTACTTCCATTTATTATTTATTTGGTATCACTGCATGGATTTCCTTTTCTGTTGAAGCTATTGTATTCTTGCATGAGGGAAAGGACTAGGACCATGCAGTTTTAACTTTGATGAATATGTATCTCTAACAATTTTCCTATATCAACCTGACAGCTACGCACTTTTTTAATTCGAAATGGTCTGTCTACACTTTTCAAAGACGGTCCTTCTGCTTATAAAACTTACTACCTGAGGTATGACGTCTAATCCCAATCTTATGTTCTCAAGCTTCAGTTTTCACACTATTTTTCAGTAATTAATTGGGTAATTAAGGAGAATTCGAACAAGAGAATCTTTACTTTCCCAACTTTGCATTATTAATGATTTTAATTCTTTAGTTAAGTCTTATCCAGAATTTATATGGCATTAGGAAAAGCAGTGTTATAACTTCCTATAGATCTCTATCAAGGTTGTAATATATTAGTTATGTATGTCTAAATATCAATGAACAATTTTTAAAAGTGTCCATACAGGTGTAGGATAACCTTTTCTGACCTGATGTTCTCTTACATCCAATGATGATTTAAGTTTAACATGGTTGAGTTGACACTTGTATATGACTATTCTTCTTTTGTTGGTGCTGCTGTATTAATCTTGTTGAATATGTAATTAGGCAGATGAAGAACTGGGGAACATCAGCAAGTAAACAGAAAGAACTTAGCAAATTGCTGGATGAATGGTATATTATAACAATTTGTTTCTCTCTTGACAGGAGCTATCTTTTAGTTTCTTCTTTATGAAACTGTGTATGTCCCTTCTTCCAATTTAATTTGGATTTCCCATTCCAGGGCTGTCTATATTAGAAGGAAGTATGGGAATAAGCCACTTTCATCCTCAACATATCTTAGTGAAGCTGAGCCTTTCCTTGAACAGTATGCTAAGCGCAGCCCTGAAAACCAGGCTTTGATAGGGGCAGCTGGTGACTTGGTTCAGACAGAAAATTTCTTGGCGATACTTGAGGCAAAGAGAGATGAA